AAAGATTGGTTCCAAAACACTAAAGCCATACCATATAGATTTATAAATATTTAATTGCATCAAGAAAAAAAAGTGATGTAACTATTCAATCTATTTTCATCATGGATTTAACTTAACTTAATTAGCTTAGTACACTTATGGGTATCATAAGGGTATTAAAAGTTACATTAAGATGATGTGAAACATGTCATACGAAAACTTTGACTAGCGTACAATTGAGCATCAAATTTAGTTTGGAGCTTTTTGGGTGACAAGTCAAAATGAGAAGCATGGTGAATTTTTAGCCTGTCCTTTTTCTAATGAAAAAACTCCAGTAGTTAATCAGAAGAGATATACTTTTAAAAATTCCCAGCAGTCAATGCAAAAAGGAATTTATCATGGAAATCCTTATATAAAGAATTTGAAATGCATAACACAAGGTGCCAAGATATTTCTTTCCATTTCAGCTCATCTCTTTTATATTGGCTCTCAGTAGTTAAAAAAATGGGGGGGGGTATCATATTAAAGCATAGTATAATAAAGACATTTTGACATTTTAACAAAAAAGTATTTTAATGTGATTATGGTAAGTACATTTCTGGTTATGTAGTTTGATATACATAGAGAGTTTAGAAAACATAGAGCAATTAGCAACTGGACTATTACCCTTAAATATCAGTGATGGTAGTTCCAGGCTTTTCGGAGATGCGGAATAAGGAAGAATTTGCGCTTTCAATCCCTGGCTATACCCTGAACCACACATATGAATTCTTGATCAAAATATGTATTATCCACGTGCCAACTGGCAGGTATGCACGTGACAAAGGTAACATTGCTCTGAAAATAAAATAAACCCATATGTATTTTAGTCTAAACAGTGTGTAAGTCCCTTTCTACATATTAGTCAGCAAAAATAACTACAGACAAAGACAATTTTTTTTCAGGAGGAAACTTTGGATTTGCCTTAGTGCTCAAATGAGATGAAAAGAAAATCAATATAATAAAAAAAAATAGTAACATGAAAGATGGTGTCCCTCTAAATTTCCTCTTCTCCATCCAGTTCCACATTCTCCTTTAATTAAACTTGATTTCCCTCAAGCACTAGCACTCCAGATAATTATTAAATAGCCAAAATTAGTGTTTCTATTTTGTTTGATTAATTAAGACTATTGCCCATTCCATAAGCAGGATCTCCAAATTTAACTTCATTATTAGTCCTCACAGCCAAATTCAGGACCTCCCACTGGAATTTCATAGATTACAGATTTTATAGTACAATATAAAAAACAATTGTAGAAAATGTATATCTATTATAATTGTTTCTGTTTTCTTTAAACTCAAGTGTATTTTGTGATTTCTAAAAGAAAAAGATGATTTCACAGTAGTTTTTGTTTGTTTTGCTTTTGCTTTAGATATGCAAAAGCACAATATTTCATCTATTATAGAGATTAAATAGGCATGTGTGGGCTGGTCTGAAAAGTAAATTATGTTTTGTAGCATTGTTATATTTGGAAAATGAACTCTGAGACCAAATAGACATTTTTCAAATGGACTTCTGGGATGTAACTATCTTCATAAGTTGGAGTATACCAGTATTTCATGTATTTATGACTTTACTAGCCCATTTATTGGGGAAACATTAACAGATATCTACTATGTTTCAAATACTGGGCTGGGGGCTTGGATTCGGGTGGCTCCCCCACCACCAATTTACCCAGTGAGGAACTCACAGCAGTTGTGAGAGAGGACAGGGAAATACATAAAAATTATTGCAACAGTTATTCAAAGTATATTCAAAATGCTATAGAAGCAGACAAGATGAAATGATTAATTCTTCATGGAATTGGGTAAGTTTTCCCAAAGGAAGTTCCACTGGAAGTGAGCCACCAAGAATCAAGAGGGACTTTCAGGCAGAGGGCATTCCAGGAGAATGAATCCATGAACCAGAGATCAGAAGTCTGAACACTGAGGAGACCTTATACAGAATGGGGAGCTAAAAAGAAAGCACTTGGAAGAGTTTTCAGAAGCTATACTAGAGAGTTTAAATATTGTAAGTTGTTGGGATCCAACAAAGGTTTTAGAAAAAGAGACTTACACAGTTAGATCTGACTTTGTAAAGATTAATTGTAGCAATGCCACCGTGGAGTGTAGATGCTGCTTTTTTGCACACATGTACACAATAACCACTGAAAACAGAATATTCTTTCATTCTTCATCACAATAATCCCTCCACTTCCAACTGTGCTTGTACTTAGCTGCTGAAGCCATCAGAACCTTGTAGTTTGAGTTTGTGTAGCAATGACAGACGAGTTACCAATGCGAGACTCGATGTGAGGCTCCCACTCTTCGCATGAAGAACATTAACTTCATGGCTAAGCTGACCATTTAACAATTGTATTTTTAAATATCTTTTTGTTTCTGGGAGAGATCTTAGTCCTTTAGCCATGGCTTTAAGAGCAAATAGGCATCGTTCCATTTTAAATATCTTCTGCTTTTTCCTCTATAAAATGTGATCAGTGAAGAATGGATGTCTCAGGCTCTTGTTATTACCAACCTCCTCCACACCCACATGTAACCAGTTGGGTGGCTGTCCCTTGTTACTGGGCTCCAGACTGAGGCTCTACCTGCCTTCCCCATCTTGTTTTTCCAAAGCACCCATTTGTACCAGAAACTGAAACATGGCAGAAAGAAGGAATCAGCATGACATAGCTCAATTCATGGGAAAAGAACCCTGGCCAGAAAATTCACAAGAAAATAACTACAAGCAACTAAGACAGTGCTACAGCACCGCACACACTAAGAACAGGAAACAAATGCATGGCCTGAACTGTACAGTAGCACCGCCTGCTTTCAGCCCTGAGAAACCAATCCAGACTCTTATCGAGCCAGAGAGAAAACACTCGTCAATGGGCCAGTAGGTCACAGTGAAAATATTAAAGGAACTGTTGGTAAACACCAACAGGGCTTTGGCTAAGACAGCAAAATAATCAGACTCAGACTACTCATCACCACCTGTTGCACATTCCTCACCCTTCCTGCCCCTCCCTACCCTTCACCCTGGAGAGTCCAAGATCACACAGTAAATAAAACCATGATCCGTGAAAGCGCTCAGAGCTTTGGCCATTACTATCTCCAGCAAAAGCTGAAAGGATTTCCCTGGGGATTTCAGCCAAAAACACTTTTACACTTAAATCTATGTTCTAGTCTGGAAGAGTGCATTGTCATTTGTTCTGCAGTGGATTTTCTTCTAGATAACTTCTTTCCCACTTACTATCAGGCTTATATTTTCAGAATAGTTCAGATTCACGGTATGTAAGGCGCAGAAGACTACTACAGAGAAACCACCCTCATCTCAAATCCAAACCCCCTGAGATGAAGTAATAAAACCAACCAATATAGTTGAAAGCCAAGGACGGTCCGAGTTTCAACAGCCCCTCCACATGCAGAAAGAATTACAGATTTTTCCTAGTACCATACCTCTTTTATATTCCTTCCACATACCTCAAACTAAATTCCAGATCTGAAAAACTCAGTTTATATCTTATTCCCACTTAAAGGTCTTCCGCCAAGAATATACCTCCTGTGAATGGTAGGATGTTATTTATTTCAGAGTTTTGTCAATATTTCTGTCCTCCGAGATGTAAAGGGGAAGTCTCTGACCACTCAGTAATGACTCTAGAGAGAACAGATTTCTGGACTTGCTACCTGTAGGTCAGGCAGTCAGGGAAGATAAAAGGGTAAGTTTTATTACTGAGCTCTCTTAGAAGTTGAAATATGCCCAGAGAAGAGGAAGTATTAAGAAATTTAAAAGGGGGAGTGAGATCTTCACAAGTCTGATGTGACTTTATTGCTGTTTTCTGGCTTTTTCTAATATATTCATTCTGTGTGTTTGGTTTTACAATGCCCAGTTCAATAGCATCATCCATTTTTGCCCTGAAGGATTGGTTTTGAGCTCTAATTGGAACTGGGGACAGATTGTTTGTATTTAATCTGTCTGTACATCTTCTACTCAGTAACTGAGTAAAGCTCTTAAACTCTACTGCAAATATCCCTGGATTCCAATGAATTTGTCTTACTTAGTAGACATAGCAACACATATTGTTTTATTTATGGATAAGCAAAGCCTTAACAACTTTTATATTCCAAATGCTCAGCACGATTTATTTATTTCCTCTTTTTAGAAAGAGCTGAAACAATGATGCTGTGGAAGGTTAAAAAAAGAGTAACATAAAATGTGCTGGAAACAGAAATTACTTGGAGTTAATGTTTAATTCAAATGAATTAAACGAGTTACAGTCTACAAAGAAGTCTGGGCTCCCTGTTACTGGTTGATATTGAAAACCTATCTAAGGAATTCAGAGTAACGTTATCTCCCTTCTATTTGGGTACTTATAAAAGAAATGCAGTCTTAAGTATTTTCTAAAAACGAGAACACATTACATGTTGATCATTAAATGTTACTTTTAAAAAAATTTAGACAAAATATTTTGAGTGGCTTGAAATTCACCAAATATTCCCTAACGCTTTGTGTTTACAAATATATGTATATATTTTATAATATATAT